ACAGGGAAATGAAGCTGTAGGCTGGATTTTCATCTTAGGAGAAGTGATTTCACTGGAATTAGTGGAATCCAGGCTTTAACTTTCCATGTGACATGAGTATGATTGTACTCCAACCTGCTGTGATGGTTGACAAGAAATATTCTTAATCATGTGCTCTTTGCTTGAGCTTCCTAAGTGGACTATAACTAAATAACCTGAGTATTTAATGTAGACGCTGTAGGCTGGATTTTCATCTTAGGAGAAGTGATTTCACTGGAATTAGTGGAATCCAGGCTTTAACTTTCCATGTGACATGAGTATGATTGTACTCCAACCTGCTGTGATGGTTGACAAGAAATATTCTTAATCATGTGCTCTTTGCTTGAGCTTCCTAAGTGGACTATAACTAAATAACCTGAGTATTTAATGTAGACCAATAGAGTCTTCATCCCAATTTTTCCTTGCAAGTAGTGCCAACAGCTTAGAGTTTTCCTTGCCATTGTATCCCTCTGACTGACAGGAATAAAACACAGTTAATATATTTGCTGCTTGTTCTCTGCCCCACTCCCAGCAGATCTCCTGAAACCTGGGGAAAGTTGTTGGTACAAGGACCACTCACTCCGTCCTTAGTCTCATAGCACTCTCTCAATGACTGGATATTTTAAACACTGGTCAGTGCAGAATCCAGTCTTGAGTGTGATTTTGGGCCATTTTAAACACATCTTCGGTGTCTGTGTTTAGCAGATGCCTTTTTCAAATCAGACAGAATTTTGAATGCCAAATGCCTGTTCCTGCCTTGATTTTCTCCCCTAGGAAAAGCTTCCTAGGTCAGAGGAAGCTTTGGCTCATGAAGAATTTCAGCATTGCCTGGGTACCTGTAGGCTATCTGGGATGTGATGTGTAGCTGTCCCAAAAGTTGCAGGATCATAGAGTCACAGAATGGTTTGGGTTGGAAGGAACCTTAAAACTCATCTCATTCCAACCCTCTGCCATGGGCAGGGACATCTTCTACTACACCAGGTTGCTCCAAGTCCCATCCAACCTGTCCTGGAACACTTCCAGGGATGGGGCCGCCACAGCTTCTCTGGGCAACCTATGCCAGTGCCTTAGCACCCTCAGAGGAAAGAATTTCTTCCTAATTAATACCCAATCTAACCCTGTTCTCTGTCAATGTGAAGCCATTCCTCCTTGTCCTGTCACTCAAGACCCTTGTCCAAAGTCCTTATCCAGCTCTCTTGGAGCCCCTTTAGGCACTGGAAGGGTCCTCTTCTCCAGGCTGAACACCCCCAGCTCTCCCAGCCTGGCTCCAGAGCAGAGGTGCTCCAGCCGTTGAAGCATCTTCATGGCCTCCTCTGGACTCGCTCTAACTGGTCGATGTTTTTCCTGCGCTGGGGAGCCCAGAGCTGGATGCAGTACCCCAGGTGCAGTCTCACCAGAGCGGAGCGGGAGAATCCCCTCCCTCAGCCATGGAAGATGAACTGGAAGAGATGGACGTAGCAGCTTTTACTGTGACACCTGGGTGCAGCCATCTTCTCTCCTAGGTTTATTTACTGCTCTGATCATGGGGGTTGGCTTGATACCTCTACCCAAATGATGTCTGAAAACTGTACTAGATCAGTATGAGAAAGGTTTTTGGTGTTTTCCCCACTGGGCAAAGCAGGACCCATTCTGATTCTATGACCCCTGCCACAGGGCATGGTTGGAGCCTAAGGGCCAAAGAGGTTTCATGCGGAGTCCTCCCAGTGGGACCAGGTGCCATGAGGAGTTTCACAAACAGGGTGCATCTGTAGAAAACAGGATAGCTCTGAAGTTAAAAAGCAGTGGATTCTGATGTCCCTCCTCCCTGCAGGGGCAGTAGCATGCTCAGTCCTATCTGGGGATGACTGTTTTGGCAGGAACCTGCCACATCACACCTTGGGCTAAAATGAGCCAAAATAAGCACAGGGAATGATGTGCAGGCACCTCTTCTTGGAGTGCTGAGACCTCTCCACCTAGCCATCAGAGGCTGGAAGTCCTTAGGCCTCTACAGAGAGGATAGGGATCCCATGGGTACCTCTCTGGGAATTTGTAAGTTTCACCCCTTCCTGCTGCCTCCCTCCAGCCTCCCCCCCGCGATGTGTGCAGCCCCCCGGGTCAGCTCTTTCCTGCATTTCCCCCTCACTGCTGCCAGCCAGACCTCCCCATGCTCCCTCCCCAGCCATGCTGCAGGAGCAAGGAAGTTTTTGAGTCTTGTTTTCCCCCCAAAACATTGAAATTATAACTCCTGTCACTCCACCGCCAGGGATGATGGGCACAACAAGCGGTTTGAGTTTGGGGAATGATGCGATGCTGGCAACCCCCTGAGCACCTGTGCAAAGTGGGAGGTGATAAAGAGCCTCCTTCCTGCTCACTGCCAGACTTCAGCCCAGTTTGGTTTCTTTTATTTTCTTTCATTGTTGTTTTTTTTGGTTGTGTTTGTGTTGTGGGGTTTGTTTTTTTTTCATTTGGAGCAGTGAAACAGAGCACAAAATGTATTCCAAACAAACTCTTCTCTGTGCAAGCGCTTCCTGACTGGGCACCAAAACCTGCCCAGCACAACAAGGGATAGATACAAGGATCTGAAATACCTACTGTTTATGGCTGAAGCCCATAATTCCCTGTATATCTACTGAGCTGACATTAAGAGCTGCAGTTTATCTGTCTCCCAGAGGCGCTTCCCATCAGAGGTGCAGCATGAGAAGGTGTGCTGCGGGGACAAGCGGTGATGATGCAACTCTGGTGGCACACAGAGGGTCTCTGGGTGCTGATCATGATGCCCACCAGCTGGCCCTGTGCAGAGGAGATGGAGCTGGATGGAAAATTAGAATGGGCTTCTTGCTGGTACCGTACTTCAGACCCTGACCAAGCACTTCTGCCAAAGAGATTGGGCTTTATTGCACTATACCCAGGCCAAGTCCTTCTGCTAATGTTTTTGCCATGTCTCACCATGGCTTCCTGGTTTGGTTTGGTTATTTTTTAAATTTTTTTTTTTGTTTTGTTTTCCTTTCCCCCCCCCCTTCCATTATAATTTTGTTCTTGCTTTTTGGTGTGACTTGTTGTACTCTATGACAATAACCTTCTTAGCTCTAATGTCCCTCCTACCCCTCAGCAGTTGACCAAGCTCCACCAGTTGGCTATGCAGCAAACCCCCTTTACTCCCCTTGGACAGACCACCCCCGCTTTCCCTGGTACGTACCCACACGCCCTTTCTAGATATCCTTCTCTTCTTACCTGTAGAGTTTCTCTCTCTTTCTTAACTCATGCTGTTTAATGGAAACAAGCAGGGCAAGGAAAAAGTTGCAATGTCCACAGGGAAAGGCTAACTGCAGACTAGACAGATATTTTGGGGGTTACAGTCCTCAGGGGCAAGCTCTCAGCCCTTAATCATGCACACCTGGACTCACTCACAGCTTTGCTGGCTTGCCCAGCAGAAGCAATGAGCACCATCCTTCCCTTTCTGGAGGAGGCAGCATCCCCTGGAGGGACTTCCCCGCTTTTCCTGGGGACAACAGCTCGGTGCCGGCCGGGGATGCTGCCCCAGTGTCTGCAGTGAGTGGTGCTGAGCCAGGCAGGACAGCACCCCCACAGTGGGAAGGAGTTGTGGCTGTAGGGAGCCACGTTGCTGGGAGGATAGCTAGCCCCAGCATGGCTCACTAGCCTTGTCCTCAAGGCTGGCATGTTCACAGTGACCTGGGAAAGATAGTGCACAGGGGATGGAGATATTTAAAGTGCCCGTTGGAAATGCCTTTTCTGACAGTATGTTCATCATATTTTGAGCTTCCTAGATGAAGTGACATTGCTTATCTCCTCGAAGGCAAAAGCATTAAACCTGTTTCTTCTTTGCTCTTCAGGAGAAAAGCTGCCCTTACATTCCTCCGAAGAAGCTCAAAATCTGATGGGCCAGTCATCAGGTAAAACACAAAGCTAGAGGGAAATAAGCAGGCTGTGGTTGAAATATATTCCTTAAATAGGATTTTGCCATTCTTGTGCTCGGAGAGCAGGCGTATTGTTTGTGGAGAAGACAGCGGGTTTTCTTGGTGGGCAGGAAGAGACTGGGCAGCACCATTCTCCTTTGTGCAGCATGGAGCTTTTTGCCTGGTTTGTGATGTTTGTGTATAACTGCCTTAGAATCACAGAATATCCTGAGGTGGAAAGGACCCACAAGGATCAAGTCCATCTCCCGGTCCTGCACAGGACACCCCAACAATCACACCATGTGCCTGAGAGTGCTGTCCAAACACTTCTGGAGCTCTGTCAGGCTTGGGGCTGTGACCACTGCCCTGGGAGTGGTGCACTGTGACAGTGCCCTGGGGAGCTATTCCAGTGGCCAAACACTCTCTGGGTGAAGAACCTTTCCCTAATATCCAACTTAAACTGCTCCTGACATGGCTCCATGCCATTCCCTTAGGTTCTGTCACTGGTCCCAGAGAGCAGAGATAAGTTCCTGCCCCTCCTCTGCCCCTCAACTGCAGTGAGGACTCCCCTCAATGCCATCTGTGTAACAGGAAGAAATCAGAGTCATCACCCTTCTTCATTCATTTAATTTTGCATAAACTTACCCCAGAAACAGCAGAAAAATGCCAGTGGGAACCACAATGACATGCAGCTTTAGCCAGCTCCAAGCCATTTGGGGTGAGCTGCACTTTAAGTGAGACAGGACCCTGAGGAGCCAAAGCAAGGCTGCAACCTTGGAGAAATTTTGATGTCCAATGTCCCACACTCATCCTGATGTGCAGAACAGATTTGTCTTTTGTTACCTGACATTGCTTAGAGGAGTTACCCTGAGTGAGACCTGGAGTCTCACAGGTGATATGAACCAGACCTCCTTGAGCATACCTGGGGCACATGGCCATGCCATGCATGCATCAGAGGGTTTGGGGACATCACCTAACTATGAAAACAAGCATAGCCCAAGTAGATGGACCCCACAAGGCTATAGAAATGTAGATTTCATGCCACCAATCTGAGCAGCCATATGTTCTGCATGCTCTCTTTGCCCTTTGCAGTCATCCAAGGCACTAATCCTGCCTTGACACCCTCCACCCCCCATTACAGGCTCAGGGGCTGCTTGTGCATGTCAGAGAGAGAGAGGATCTGGTGTGCTAAAATAAACAGTCTCCAGGTAATGGAGAAGGATGTGGATCTTCCTCGATGGCTGTGAGAGGCAGGGATGCTGCAGTACCATGGCACAATGTGTCCCAGAGGCTTTCAGCAGCATCCATGTCATCCAAGCATGAGACAGGGGATGCTATCTATGAATCTCAGGAGCCTAGCTTGTATTCCCAAAGACCCCTGGGTGCCTCAGCACTGCTCTGAGCCCATTCCTCATGCTCTGCTCCCTTCAGAAGACATTTTCTGTTACACCCGCAGACATTTTCTGCTACTGAGCTGAGCCATGTAGCACACAGAAAAGAGCCAGGGACACCCTCACCTGAGGGACACATCTCTGTTAGGTGCAGTCCACCCTGTCACAGACAGTGAGGAGGTTCAGCATGAAAGACAGTCCAGGGCTGGAGAAATGCATGCTGTAAAGTTGGTATTGAGCACTGCTGTGGTGTAACACTTGGGCAGGAGGTGCTTTGTTCAGGCTTTGGCATTAGTACCCCTGGCAAGGGTGAAGGACAGCAGAGGGCTACTGAATGGAGGATTTGCATCCCCATTCTCTGCATTTCCTCTCCTCTCTGTGCTCCCAGATGAAAAATGTGGTAAGGAGACCTACTGCAAGCAGATGTCAGGGAAGTGTGTCTGGGTAGCTGCATTCAGAAAAGCACAGGAATCACAGAGCTGCAGAATCATGGACTGGTTTGGAAGGAACCTTAAAGACCATCTACTTCCAACCCCCTGCCATGGGACCAGGTTGCTCCAAGCCCCATCCAACCTGGTCTTGAATACTTTCAAGGGATAAGACTACCACAGCTGCTTTGGGCAACCTGTGCCAGTGCCTCACCACCCTCACTTCCTAACATTCTAACACCATGCATGAGCACATCAAAGATACTTGGAGCTCCTCTTCCTCAGTGCTGAGTCCCCTGATGGAAATATATGAGGAATTCAGTGCTGTCCATGTCTTGTGTTGCAGCAGCTCAGCACATCCAATCTCCTTGTGTTTCTTTATTCTGCACCTCCTTACTCCTCTTTCTTCAGATACAGACATGGCAATGCTCTTAAAAGCTTTCATCAGTGGTTTATGTCATATGGTTAAAGGGCTTTTTTTTCCAGTTACTGCAAATTCCTGTCAGCCACCAGACAGCTTCTCTCTTGCAGATTTGACATAGGACATCCCTGCATCGACACTGAGGTGATTTAATGTAGAAAACCATGGGAAAGGCAGGCTTTGACCTGGCCTAGGTGCACTATGGCATGGTGTTCTCTTGCTTCTGGAGCTGCACACACAGCGTATCCTGCTGGCTCCAGCCGTTCCCACCGTGGAGGAGAGAGTTTTCCCTGATCCAGGAGGGGCCTGGAGAAAGCATGCTGCTGCCTTCACTTCTTGCCGTGTAATTTGATAGGGAAGCAGAATATAAAGCTTCATACTGTTTATCTTGCTTTCCCTTGGGAATAAGAGGGACAGCTGGCCCAGAGTCCAGCTAGGGTGCCTGTCATAGTGGTTTGGTTTAAATTCAGTGTGCGACTCTGTGGAGCTTTAATTTGCAAAGGACTTGTGCTAGTGCTGCCGGATCCCCCAGGGAAACCGGTTTTTGGGCACCGAGCTGCTCTCATACCCAAGCAGCTCAATGCTGCTGCATCCAGAGGAAAGCTGGAGGGTGCATGGACAGCATTCCTGATAGGTTGGTGGGTGTCCCAACCAGCATGCTCTCTACTGCTGTGTGGGAAGGTGTTTTTCCAACCTCTCTTTGGTGATGCTGAAACATTGCACCCTCCTCTGAAGCCATTCCCAGTGTGAGGATGGAGGGTGGGAAGCGAGGCACTCATGGGGCAGCTCAAGGGACGCAAAGAAGGTGACACCCAGCTCCAGCAGAGTCAGGTAGCAACTGTCTTCCTCCTCCTTGTCCCAGAGTGTGTGATCCCCTTCCCATCCCACCCTGGAGCAGGACGCAGCCTTTGCAGTGTTGACTGTTGCGGGAAAGCAGTGGAGCTCCATCGTGTTGCCTTTGCAAGCTATAACCATGTTCCCTTGCATATGCCCAGGTTTGGATGCCAGTCCCCCGGCCAGTACTCATGAACTCACCATTCCCAATGATGTAAGTAAGTCCAAGTGCTTCCTTGGCATGTCTGTGTGTGCGTGTGTGTCTATACATATATGTGTATGTGTGTGTGTGTGTATATATGTATAAGCTGCAGCCATATGGCTTTGTTAAATATATTTATAGATGCCCCTTCACCATGTTCCCTCATCCATGAACAGTCTGTTGGGGATCAACCTGCAGCATAAAGCGCACGTTAGACTCTACTGGTTCAGTAGCTTCCCTGGGTACAATCCTTAATACTCCATTTCCCTTTCCAAGTGAACTCAGTGCTCATGAAACATGCCCAGTTGACAGCACTGGGAAAGGGAGAGAGCTCCTAAGCCAGTCCTGATTAAACTCTTCATTGCTTAATCAGGTACTGATGGCTCTGAGATGATGTTTCAGGTCAAGGGTAGTGACTGGGTGGAGGCGGGTGGTGAAGAGGAGGTAAGTAAATTACATTTCTGATGCCACTAAGTGCCACCTAAGTGTCTGAAGGGCAATGCATCTCCTCTTAGTCCTGGTGGTAGGCAGATTTGGGGGTTTACAGATGGAGGCATTGTGGTAAAGTGGGTGTTGGACAGGGACTGGGGTGTTGGCTGGGAGGAAGATGGAGTCATGCTGGGCAGGGTGCTTGGGGATGCTCAGGTGGGAGGAGGTGGGATGAAGAGCACAACACAGCCAGCACCTTGATCCATGTGTCTCACTTCTGGACTGGCCCACTGGTTTCTATGGACTAAGAACCAGCCTCTGCTCAAATCAGGATGAGGGCAAGCAGTGGGATGACATCTGATCTCTGTCCCCATTTCCATCACCAACAAGCACCTTCAGACCAACCTCATCAGGAGTTTCTGGATGGGGTCTGGCAGCTATTGCTACTTCTTCCTGCTGTTTACCAACACCTGGCAGTGCAAGGGAAAGGCAACAAGTCCAGCTGCAGCTGCCAGGCACCTCCTCCAGGACCTTCTACTCAAGAGACATGACAGTGCAACAGCTTCTGAGCATCTGCCAGCTGAAACCCTTGGAGATGCTTCACCCCAGGGCCAGTTGCCACAGGAGGAATCTGAAGAGGAGCCTGTGGGAGACTGATCCCAGATCTCTTCTGTCCATCCAGCAAGGACCCCTCTACAGGAGTCTGTAGGCAGCTGTGCCATTGCTCCTGAGGTTCCAACAGCTGTGTCTGTTGAGCATGGAGAACTGTAGCAAGGAGGGCATCTTGAATAATATCATGAGACCCATTGCAAAAGGGCTCACGTGGGAGGAAAGGATGCCAGGGGACCTCCCACAGAACGCAGGAGCACTTGGAGCATTCATTCATCAGAGACCCAGCTCTCACCAGACCTGGGCAGCATTAAATATAATCACCTGCATCTTGTAAAATGCCTCTTTAGTTCTTCCTCATGTTATTTCGAAGGCTTTTAAACACTCACTGCCAACTTTTCAGGAAGCAGAGGTCAGGTGTGGGTTTCTTTCAGTTACCAGGCGTGTTTTAGTGGTGTAGCTTGGAGTTATGCTGCAGTTGAAGGAAATCTGGTGATATCCATCTTGCCATTCCTCTGACAGTGAGGAGAAACTTGAATGCTATTCAGCTTGGGTGTTGCTGTACATCTGTGTAAATAGTTTGGCTTCTCAGGTCTCCCTGGCAGATTTTCATTTGCTGAAGCATCTCTAAGTTATTTCTGTGTCGTGAAGACCAGGATGGGTGGCCTCTGGGCTGAACACCCCACCACAACCCCTGAGACAGTTGATACCTTCCAGTGTATATTCAGGTCCACATGGGACAAAGCACCATGGAAGCCTGATGGTCTGACCGAAGGATGAGTGAACACTTGGAGGAGTAGTTGTCTCCACTTCTACCATGACAGAAATCTAGCAGCTGCCAAGATGGACATCCCACATATAAAATGCCAAGGTGCAATCTTGGAAAAGAGCTCACATGGCCAAAAAGGACATGAAAAAGCACCTCATGCCTGTGTTGGTCAAGCTGGATATCTCAGTATGTGTTACCGAGCCACAGAGATGCTTGAGGGAACCATCATTTGATACACAAATGAGCAAACACAAAAACCACTAAGGAAATTCAAGTCATTGAGGGCCATTGAGAAAATTCAAGGGATGGACATTTGAGGAAATACAAGCCTCCAGCTGGCTCTGATTTTTTCACACAACTGTGAAAGTTGTGTTAAGTAGGATTCCCCTCTTCTGCAGGTGCTGAAGCTACGTGGTGCTCCCTTGGGCACACCTGCAAGCCCTAGAATTGCATCAAAAGAGCTGGAGGGGGTAGCAGTGGCATTGAGGGCGCCCCAGTGGGATAGAAGAAATGTGGGATGGGGTGATGGCACCAGCTGAGAGGGCTCTTGGGGTTGGGCTGTCCCCAGAGAAGGTGGTGGGCTTGTTTCCTTCTAGTGACATGCCCAAATCACCTTTGGGTTTGGTGTGACTAGCAAGAGGATAAATCCTTGCAAAATATTGACCATTTCTCATACTATGAAAATTATTATTGCTGAAATGAGCCCTCCTTGAAGCCCTCTGAGATGCTGGGCATCGTGTGAAGATAATTGAGGTTTTTTCCCCCCCCTCCGAGGAGCAGAGCAGAGCAGGCTGCTGGATGTGTCCTGGGAGGACCATGCTCGCGTGCAGGTGGGATTCACCCCCGGTCTGTCCCTCTCCTGTTTTCATGAGCATTAAGGTCACTCGCATCTCAGGGCGGTGCGGTTGTGCTCGCGTCCCTCCAGTGACTGCCAGAGCTGCCACTTCTCAGACGTTCCCTCCGTGCTTTTTTTCCTAGCTAATAGGCTGCATAATCGGACGCCAAGGGACCAAAATCAATGAAATTCGGCAGATGTCGGGAGCGCAGATCAAAATCGCCAACGCCACAGAAGGGTCATCGGAGCGCCAAATTACCATCACAGGAACCCCTGCAAACATCAGCCTTGCGCAGTACCTCATCAACGCCAGGTGAGATCCCCTGCCGACCACCGCCTCCTGCCACAGCTGATCCTGTTCTGCCGGCGTGGTGGGAGCAGTCCTCGCTCCCGGCACCATGGGCCAGGATGGGCTTCCTGAGGCCAGCTGGGAAGGATGGTGTCTTGCTGAGACCTCTGAGCGGGCACCAGACGTCACCAGCGGGACATCTCCCCCCAGCTGGCACTTTGGCTGGCACCTGGGAGCTGCTTTGCTGCCAGAGGAGCGGCCGCGGGTTGCACCAGTCACCTGCCCACACCACCCTCGCTCAAGGATT